TGTCCTCCCTAACATTTTTCTCTTGCTTTAATCAATTGGACCAAATCTTTAATCAATTGAGCCGTGTGTAAATTTTCCTAATAGATTAGAGAACACTTCTTAATCAACTGCATACAAGCTTCAATAGATTTTCAAGAAATTTTATGAAATCAAATAGGGTTTTAAAAAAATTGTGTTTGTGATTGTCTCAGTACTTTAAGACTTACTTTTGATCTTTTACAATTTAACTGAATTTAAGTGCAAAATCAAACGAACTTTTACACCTTCTCTCTTTCTGACTTCAAGATCTTCTGTATGATTCAACAACTTAATTAGAATTTCAACTGGATCTTTGAATTGTCTGACATATGAGACTTGAGATATCTTTTTGATCGTGTGCCATCATCAAGAGTTTACTGGACAATTAATATCAACTCCCCTTATAACTGTTGTCACGAAGTTCTCTCAACATCCAAAAATCATTTAATTTATGAAATTATTATCTTTAAAATTGTTTGACGGTTGTCATCAATTCTCATCATCAAAATCAACAAATAATTAATCCATAATAGACACAAATAAACAAAGAGAATTATTAAAATTCGCTAGATTGTGCAAATAGTGACATAGTAGTGAGAGTGACAAATATGGATTAGTCGAACTATTGCCATGATTACCTTGGATGCATTGCATACAATGATTCCCTCAACCATAATTAATCTTAAATGTACTATAAAATTAAAATTTTATTTACCTTTCTTTTTAAAAGCACGTTAATTATAAAACTACGAGCTAAAAGGTAGTACATTTAGTTGTAGAGGCAGTTTATTTGAGGGGTTCAATTGAATTTTTAAACTTTAAATATTACATCTAAATATCTATATAAATTACACTTTTGAATCCCCTGAAAATTTTTATTTACACTATTAATTTATTTGATTTTGAATTTATTTACTTTTGCACTTTCAGATCTAAGGTTTTGTCTATATAAATTACATTTTAAACTCCTACATTTTTTATTTCCACCATTAATTTATTTAGTGTCGAATTTATTTATTTTTCACTCCTTAATCTAAAGTCTTGGCTCCGCCATTGAATGTATTGACAGTATAAAATAGTTTACAATGTCATCCAATAAAAATTTATCCTTTAACTATGTTATATAATTTATTTAATAATAACAGAATGACTTGTCACTTAACATGATTGTGATTGATTGAATATCTTTTTTTCTTCTAAAACTATTACTATTTTCAAAATTAAAGTAACTATACAACAAACTAGTAAGATACATATACGTCTGCACGGGTAAATTCATTTGGATTAAATATAAAATATATTTAGATATATATGTACTTTAAAATGAATTTCTTAACTGAAAATAAACCATGATCATATAAATTTAATTAATTAAAATAAAATATGTATTGTAGTAATAGTGACTCGTGAGTTAAAATATTTTATTATTTAAAAATATGATATCAATATTTAATATTCAAAAAATTTTATTTAATGTCAATAAATAGTAATAAAAATATGTTTTGAGATAGAAAGTAAAAGAATGCATACTTCTTAAATTGGAATGATAATATTATTATTTGTCTGTAATAAAAATAGGAATTTTACCTTTTAAATAAAGATAATTGTTGATTAAAATAAAATAGATAATATGATATAGTGGTCCTTGAGATAGAAAGTAAATTTTGTAATAAAATAAATTGTTAATTTTTATTAAAGTTACAAAAATATACTAATTAATATTTTTAGTGATAATAAATAAATAAAATTAATTAAAAATATAGTAAAAACTAAAATAAAATTTACAAACTCATATTTATATAAATATAGACTTGGCATTATATAATTAAAAATAATCGTTATAATAATATTTTATTAAAATACTTAAGTGATAATTTAAAAGTATGAAAAGATGAAAGATTTGAATTTTAAAAGTATAAGAAAAATTTAAAAAAAAAATGAATTTTAAATTTTGAATATAATTTACTAAAATAATATAAATAAATGGGGTGGGAAATGAAAAAATAATAAAGGAGATAAAGTTTAAGATATTTCTTTTAATATTTGTTAATTACAATAAAATATTTTTTATAGTGAAAATTTTATTTTTAAAATTTATAACAAATCAAAAAATAGCCGTTAGACTTTCTCTGATTCTAATCCATTAAATTTTAAAACAACCAATTGAAATATTCATCCAAAACGAAAATTTTCGTAAAATTTCAAATTTCATAAAAATAGTTTGAATTTTTTTTAGAAATTGTTTTTAGAAATAAAGATTTTACTTCTCAAATAAAGGTCATCGTTGATTTAAAATAAAAAGTATTCTGTTGATATGGATCCCTAAAATTAAAAAATTTATTATTATATTTATATTAATATACATTAATCATCTAACAGAGTTAACAAATAATTCTACAACACGTGTGTTAATGTGTTACATGTTCAAAAGAATCAAAATAATATTAAAATATATGTCTATTTCTTTTAACAAAACATCGATAAACTTTTTAAATTATTATATTTATTACTCTAAAATAATATCCATACAACACAACTTATAAATCACTCACTATTTAAAATTATCAATTTACTGATAATTTTAAAAGAAAACTAATTTCCAAGTACAAATATAATTATTACTATTTTAACCTTATGTAGTGGGTAAATGAAAAAATCACAAACGACATTGATGAGAGTTTATATGATATATATATAAGATATAAATATTTATATTTATAATTATATATAAATAGATAAATATGTATAAACATTAATATATTTAAATTTTACTATAAATAGATAAATAGATATAATTATCTATTAATATAATTTATATGGTATATATTTATTTATTAGATATAATTATATTTTGAAAATGTCAATTTTACTATGAATATATGATATTTCATGTATATTTATTTAAAATATTATATATTTTAATTTCAAAAATAATATAACTAAGAAATATAGATATAATATGATTCAAGATATATCTTATTTTTTTGTAACAATATATATATATATATATATATATATATATATATATATATATATATATATATATATATATATATATATATATATATATATATATATATATATATATATATATATATATATATATATATATATATATATATATATATATATATATATATATATATATATATTATTAAATACAAATATATTTAAATTTATTCAAAATTTATTATAAATTGATAAATATAAATAAATATAGTATATAAATGTCAATTTACTATAAAAATATATTTGAATATATTAATGAACATAAAAATATACTGTATAACTAAACATACTGTTCTGGACTGGGCCCGTCCTGTCCCAAGAGCAATAACGAAGGCCCAATCCAAGCAACTCTTCAAGGAGCGCGCGCCCGAAGATTTTCACCAGCGCGTCGACCAGAAGCTGCAGTCGTGCCCGCCGCTGCCCGTGAACATGGTGTCCCCAACCACGTGAACTCCAACTCGAGCCCGACTCGAGCACCCTCCTAGTAGGGCAGACTATGACCGTTACCCCATCACCTGAACTCCGGAAAGACTGCGTCCTCGTCCCTCCTCATTTCTCGCAGAACATCACCAGGAAGGAGACCACGTGCGGGTTTCCACTACACACATAGAACCTGACAGTTCCTTTATTGGGCCAGTCCTGGTCGGCCCAATGAAGGGACCTTGGCCCCGTGCTGGGGGCTATAAATACCCTCTATTCCTGGAGGGTCAGGTATCCATTCTCTTGCCCATACACACACTTTTTTGCCTGCTCGTACCATCACTCATTTTAGCATTGGAGTGCCTTGCAGGTACCCCCATCTCACTCAACTTCCGCTCGGAGTCAGTCGTGACGGTCCAAGTCTGATCAGGTAAGATCACATACTATATAGATAAATTAATTAAAACTAATTATAATTTCAATGTAGTTATTAAAGAATATTAAAAATTCACTAAAACTATATCATTTTTAATATTTATAAATATAAAATTTTATTTTTAAATAAAGAATATATTTTTTTTATGAATATTAAGCAAATTTTACTAATTTTAATTTAAATAAAGATAATTTCTAGTAATGTATTTTTTAAAAATTACAAAAGAATATTATAAAATGTTTATATGCATTGATAGTTGATCGGTAGGTACACGGGATAGGGGTTCAAAACCAAATCGGCTCAATAGAAAATCGCAAAACCGAACCGAACCAAATCGAAACCGTAAAAAACCACATTTGGTTCGGATGTGTTTTGGTCATTTTCTCGTGGAACCGCATGGTTCGGTTCGATTTGCGGTTTATATTTTACAAACCGAACCAAACCAAACAAAACTGCATTATGTTATAAAATCTTACTAACCAATATATATTTCTATAATTCTTTAGAGACATGTATTATGTGTATATTTTATCATACTTTGTATTATATTCATTTTAATTTACAAATCATAAAAAATAAAATATTATTCATTTATAAATACTATTTTCACAAAATATATTTTATCATATTCTTTGTATAATATTTATTTAAGAATGCAACCTTGTTGATATCATTATTTAGATTTAGATAAAATTATAATACGCAATTTTATGTATCAAATTATAAATTTATTTTGACAATTATAAACTTTTTATGGTAATGTATGAACAATTAAATATAAAATTATATTTTCCTATATATTTGTATGTATGACATAATAATTATTTTTGTAAAAAACCGAAACAACCGAATCAATCCAAACCGTATTAGTTTGGTTTGGTTTGGTTCGTATTTATTTTTAAAAGCCAATCGAACCAAACCGAACCGCATGTTTTTTTCTCTTACGGTTCAGATGATTTTTTGCTTCAAATCCGCTCAAACCGCACCGCGAACACACATGGGCTGCACTCTAGTAATTAAAGGTGCAGTTGTCTATCACGGACAAGTTTAAACTTCAAGTATTGTCCAAGTTTAAACTTTCATTCTTCCTTTGATTCTTCACTTTCCTAACTCATAAATGGCGCATAACAAGAATCAAAATCAAGCACAAACATCTTATTCTCCCTTCACTCAACCTATCCGCTGTATTGTAAAATTGGGTATCACTCTCTCTCTTTCTCTCTGCTTTTGCTTCATTTCTTTTCAAAGAGGGTTTCTTTACATTGTTCATTGTCTATAGCATCTCAAATTAAGCATTTTTTTAGTGTATAACCATCTAGGTTCTCTTGTGTTTCTGACTTTTTTTTATGATTAAATTATCCCATAAGACTGTTCTCTATATTTCAATGAAATTCATCATAACGTTTAGTGTATGTTTCGTTTCAAGGTTGGAGTACTTAGAATTGTTTTTGGATATGGAGAATTGATTTTGACAAAGGTTTGATTGCTTTCGAGTTGTATTGATTGTGCTTTTCATAACTGATAGCTTTTGAATCTAAATATTTATTGTTCAACCCACTTTTGTAATAATTTATCCAAACATAAATCACTTTGCTTTCAACTCACTTTTAGTCAAAATCAATTTTTCAGAATCAATTTACTCATAATCATTTTTTCACCGTATAACCTAGCATACTAAACTTTATGCAAAATTGAGTTGAACAATAAATTTCAATGTAAAGTTCGCGTTTAAATGCAAAAGTTATTCTAGCTTCAAGTAGAATCAATTCTAGAGGCAAATTTTAATTCGACATTAGATGGACCAAACTTTTCAAAATCATTCCAAAACCAAACTCTACACCTTTAAAATCACTTTTCTCTCTTCCAAGCTAAATCAAACATTCGTATTAACCTATGACGCATAGATAAAAAACACATGAATGATATTGACACTATATGTAACCAAATGTGTTTGTATCGTGCTGGTGTCTAGGGTTGGCAAAACATGTTTGGTCCGCCGGATATGCCCGTTTTGTTCGAACTTTTTTGCGGGACGGACCAAGATTTTAGGTTTGCACCCTCTAATATGTTCGTCTTCTCCGTTTTTTGGCGTGGCTTTTGTTGGTGCGAGCATTAACATAAGTTTTTGCAATTTTAAGATTAAAAGGTGCAGTGCTTGCCCCACCCTCATTTTTTTGCGGGGCGGACCAAAGTTTTAGGACCGCGCCTTCAACTATGACCGTCCTGCCCCGCCCTATTTTTTGCGAACTTTTGCGGGGTGGGCATGCCTGTTTGGTGTCAGAGCCTGTAGAGAACACGTCTAAGACACTTAGGCCCAGCCATCAATTTGAAGTGTTGGTGCTATAGTGTGTTTAACTATGAGGTCTTTTTTTACTTAGTGACAATAAAATCCTTTTGATGTGATATTCAGGAGGTGCTGCAATAACTTGCAAAAATGAGTTAGAGAAGATAAATGAGGAAAGTCTTCTTAAAGTTTCAGAACAGCTTAGGCAAGCAATGATTGCTACTTCTCAGAAGCCACCTGGGATGGATTGGAGCAAGATACCTGGTGAATCAGAAATCTGTTGTAAACCAGAAGAATTTGAAGACAATTATGTCTCCGAATGTAGCCGTTTCATTGTCGTTCATGGAGCAGGTTTCTCGATTTTTCTCCTCTATGAGTTAAATATTCTTATTCTATTAATGATAATGTTAGATGAATTATATCTTTGCTTATATTGGTATATCTTGAACAAATAGATATTAACCCATTGTGGTATAAGGGGTGTCTAGGTAAAAAAATTAAGTGTTTATTCAATAAGCCCTTATCATAGAGTTTTTCATTGAATGGTTTTTACAATTGAATACAGTACCAGGGTAAACTCGCCATTAAGTCATTAACCCTTTATAGGTTGTTTTTGTAAGCTATACATGAGAGTTTATGAAAATATGTTGAAAACAGCTTATGGACATATCATGAGCTATTTTCTGGGATTGCTTTGATGGATGAAATTGCTTGTGGAAACAGCTTATGACATGCCTATAAGTTGTTTGCAGCTTATTTACATAACTTTTCCAAGATAACTTATAAAAATAGCTTATACCTAAATGTGAAAACAATTTGACTTCATATTATCTTTTGCTATAGAAATGATTATGCTATACGCGCTTAATTAAGTTGTTTATTGAAACAAGTCCTTAAGAAGTTTTGTACTTGAAGTGCTTTACCATTTTGATTGTGATTTGACAACCTTGCTTCACATTATATGTAATGTTTATAAACTGGAAATTAATTCTTAATGATAAGCAACTAGTTCATATTAGTATGTATGGTGCTCTCAGGTTCTTTTGGGCATTTCCAAGCTAGCAAGTCTGGTGTTCACAAGGGACAGCTGGATAAACCTCTTGTCAAAGGCGGCTTTGTTGCTACGCGAATATCTGTAAGTAATCATTGCCAATTTTAAAAGATCTATAACAGTTGTATATTTGGAATTTTTAAAGGCGAGTTTGACATTTTGACTGTAGTAAAAATGCATCTGCCACCTATGAGCTAACTTCTTTCTCCAAACTCAAGTCGATGCTAATCTAGCTTACTCATGAACTTCATGACCAAACTAGGCAAAAAACGTTCAGTTTGTAAAAATGTTCTGTTTTATTTTCATCACTCTCAATCCTTATATTTTGGTGTCTAAGTGTGATACCATGCTTAGCAGTTCATTTAATTTTAATTTCAGGTAACCACTCTCAATCTTGAAATCGTTAGAGCACTAGCCAGAGGTAGTTTCGTAACTATTGCAATCTTTAGTTTCACCCTTTTTTGGCTTCAAACTCTTTACAAAAAAAAGTATTGAAATTCATTATTCTATTTTTTTCTCCTTTGCAGAGGGCATTCCTTCAGTTGGAATGTCACCTTTCTCATGTGGATGGATTACGGGTGAAAGACATGTTTGTAAACTCTAAACTGAATATATGCCGGATTGTATTCATTAAAAATGGACTATACTCTTGTCGTCTTCCTTTTCAGATAAAGTTAGTATTCTAAGCTCATATTCAACACGTGCAGATATCTTCAGCCGATTTGTCTCCCGTAGCTAGGGCTATTGATTCTGGTTTTACACCTGTAAGATTGAATTCTTCATTCTATTTTACTTGAAATTTTTTACTAACTCTCTACCACTCTTGTGACCTTTCCTTGTTGCATTTTATCATTTCTCTTTCTTTCTAAGATTTGATCTTTCTTTCTATATAGATGGGAATGAAGTTAGTGTTAACTTGTGCACTTTCATTTTTTCCCCTCTGAATTAACTTCAACGGTTCATATTTGTGTAATAATTTTTCTTTTATTTTCTATCTTCACATCAAATGATATAGGTTTCATTGCAATTTGTCTAGGTTCTGCATGGAGATGCGGTGCTTGATGAGATTCAGGTAGAGACTCGGTGATAGGACTCAGTTAGTTGAGAAAGAATTGCCACGTGAGCGGCTGATTTACAAGGAATCAAGTGGACCCCAAGAGTGGAAAGTGTATTCTAGAAGGAAGGGTAAGAAGGGAATTGGTGGCTAGTTAGTTATAATATTGTGACGTGGCTTGAGTGAGGAGAGCACTTTGCAATCCATTTCCACGATATAAGGGATCAGAGGGAGAATGTAGATCTTACCTTGGATTATAGTGATTTACTAGCATGAATAGGGAGCTATAGCTTCCTATTAGGAGCCTAGCTCTTGTCAGATCTAGGGTTACATTCCCTTTTCTGTAACTGTTTCCCATTCATATTCACTATAATAAAGCTCTCTTTTCCTCTGTTTTCTGCTTGTACTGTTATATTACTACAATTCTGTGTTTTAGTTCGTATCAAGTGGTCCGACCTACCGGATTCCGACGAAGGAGCCAGTGAATGCCACCAAAAAAGGTGACGTTAACGGTGTTCGCAAAGATGGAAGCCAGGGTCGAAGCGTTAGAGAGTGAGATCACAGAGGTGCGTTCAACTCTCGTCGAGATGCAGAACTCAGTAACGACAAACCATGCTAATCTGATAGCAATGTTAGAGAAATGCTTGGGTAAGTCGTTGACCGTAGACGAAGGAGATGCGAGCGTGTCCGGCAAAGGTCCAAAGAGTACGGTTGTCAACAACCGTCATGGAGAGGCGTTGACAGAGTATCGCCAATCCGTGAAGAAGGTAGAACTGCCGTCGTTTACCGGAGAAGATCCGGCGGGATGGATCTCACGGGCAGAAGTGTATTTCCGCGTCCAGGACACGATACCAGAGATGAAAGTGAGTTTAGCTCAACTGTGTATGGAGGGAGCAACGATTCATTTTTTTAACTCTTTGCTCGGAGAGGAAGAAGGGTTGACCTGGGAATCGTTGAAGGAGGCTTTGTTGGAGAGGTATGGAGGACACGGGGAGGGTGATGTTTATGAACAGTTGACGGAATTGAAGCAAGAGGGAACGGTTGAGGAATATATCACAGAGTTTGAATACCTAACGGCACAGATACCGAAGCTACCGGAGAAACAATTTCGTGGGTATTTCTTACATGGGTTGAAGGCAGAGATTAGGGGAAAGGTACGTAGCTTGGTGGCAATGGGGGAAATGAGCAGAACAAAATTGCTCCAAGTCACAAGAGCTGTGGAGAGAGAGGTGAAAGGGGGAAACGGGTCAGGCTTTCATCGTGGGTCTAGAGCTGGTTATAACCCATCTCATAATGGGTCATCAGGAAGGAAAGCTGCATCTGATTGGGTCATGATAAGGGGGAGAGATGTTGGGCCACATGGGGGTGTCAAGAGTGGAGTAAGTGGGCTCAAAGGAGACAAACAGGCCCAAAATGAAAAGAAACACACTGGGCCTCGTGATAGGGGTTTCAAACATTTGTCTTACAATGAATTGATGGAAAGGAAGCAAAAGGGCTTATGTTTTAAGTGTGGAGGCCCATTCCATCCTATGCACCAGTGCCCAGAAAAACAACTAAGAGTTTTGGTTGTGGAAGAGGGTGGAGATGATGTGGATGAGACCAAATTCTTGGCTATAGAGGTGGATGAAAGTGATGAAGAGGAGAAAGGGGAGATGAGTGTACTTAACTTGCATCACATTGCACATAAGACTCATCATACTATGAAATTCCAAGGAACAATACAAGGAGTAGAGGTATTGATTTTGGTGGATAGTGGGGCAACACATAATTTCATTTCTCAAAAATTAGTGCATCAAATGGACTGGCCAATTGACACTACCCCTCAAATGACGGTCAAATTGGGGAATGGGTTACAAATAGCAACACAGGGGGTGTGTAAGGGAATGGAAGTGTGTATTGATGAATTCAAATTAGACCCAGAAATGCATTTATTTGAATTAGGAGGAATTGATGTGGTTTTAGGCATTGAGTGGCTTAAAACATTGGGGGATACTATTATTAATTGGAATAAACAAACTATGAGTTTTTGGAGTGAGAAGAAATGGGTGACTCTTAAAGGACAGGAGGGGTGCAGGAAGTCTACAGTAGCTTTGCAAACTGTTCTCAGCAAGCCCAGGCCCAATATGCAAGATTTATTGTGGATAGTAGAGAAAACAAAACCCAAAGAGGCTGAAAAAGGTCCGTTGCCTGTCCAACAACAAAGGGAGTTAGAAGCATTATTACACAAATATGATCAAGTGTTCCAAACCGTGCTAGGCCTTCCGCCGACAAGGAACAAGGAGCATGCGATCAACCTTGTGGAAGGACAAGGAGCCGTAAACGTGAGGCCGTATCGTTATCCCCACCATCACAAGAATGAAATTGAGAAGCAGGTGAAGGAGATGTTGGACACGGGGATCATTCGCCACAGTACGAGTTCGTTCTCAAGTCCGGTGATTTTGGTGAAGAAGAAGGACTGCACATGGCGAATGTGCATTGATTATCGCGCTCTAAATAAGATCACGGTACCTGACAAATTTCCTATACCGGTGATCGAAGAGTTATTGGATGAGTTGCATGGAGCTACGTTCTTTTCGAAGTTAGATTTGAAATCGGGGTACCACCAAGTGAGGGTGAAGGAATCTGATGTGTACAAAACAGCTTTCAGAACACATGAAGGGCATTATGAGTTCCTTGTGATGCCGTTCGGACTCATGAATGCGCCGTCAACGTTCCAAAGCCTAATGAATGATGTGTTTCGCCCTCTGTTAAGGAAGCATGTGTTGGTCTTCTTTGATGACATACTTATCTATAGCAAGAGCTGGGAGACTCATTTGAAACATTTAGAAGAAGTGTTGAGTTTGTTAGCTAATCACAGCCTAGTGGCTAACAAGAAAAAGTGTTTTTTTGCCCAACAAAGTGTGGAGTATTTGGGGCACATGATTACTGAGCACGGTGTAGCCGTAGATCCTGGAAAAGTGGCAAGTGTGACTCAATGGCCACAACCTAAGAATGTAAAAGGGGTGAGAGGATTCTTAGGACTTACAGGTTATTACAGGAAGTTTATAAAGGATTATGGGAAAATTGCTAGACCATTAACTGAGCTGACCAAGAAGGACAGTTTCAAATGGGGAGTGGAAGCTCAGCAAGCCTTTGATGAGTTGAAGTGGAGGCTTACATCAGCACCTGTGCTAGCTTTACCAGATTTTTCAAAGAGTTTTATGATTGAGTGTGATGCTTCAGGAGGAGGAATAGGGGCGATATTGATTCAAGATAAGAAACCAGTAGCATACTACAGCAAGGCCCTTGGGGTGAAGAATTTAGCAAAATCGGCCTATGAAAAAGAATTGATGGCAGTAGTTTTAGCAATCCAGCATTGGAGACCATACTTGCTGGGGAGAAAATTTGTAGTATCAACTGATCAAAAAAGCCTCAAACAACTACTGCAACAGAGAATTGTAACTGCAGAGCAGCAGAACTGGACTGCTAAATTATTGGGTTATGATTTTGAGATTGTGTACAAACAGGGTAAATTGAACAAGGGAGCCGATGCTTTGTCCAGAATTCATGAGGGAGGGGAGTTAGCTACCATGAATTACCAATGGAGATGGCTGCATATGGAACAGGTTAAAACAGAAAACCAACAGGATGAAAGGTTGCAGAAAATAATAGAAGAGGTTCAACAAAATGCAGAAACATGGCCTGGGTATGAGTACAAGCAAGGTGTCTTAATGTATGAAGGTAGGTTGGTGATTTCCAACAATTCTTTGCTAATTCCTACATTGTTAGAGGAATTCCACTCAACACCCCAAGGAGGACATTCGGGGTTCTACAAAACTTATAGAAGAATTGCGGCTAATGTGTATTGGATAGGCATGAAAGGAACCGTACAAGACTTTGTAAGAAGATGCGACATTTGCCAAAGACAGAAGTACATGGCTTCATCTCCAGGAGGCTTGTTACAACCTCTACCCATTCCTCATCAGATATGGGATGATTTATCGATTGACTTCATCACCGGGTTGCCAAAGTCAAAAGGTTTCGAAGCTATTTTAGTGGTGGTGGACAGACTGTCAAAGTACTCTCATTTTATCCCTCTGCGACATCCATATACAGCTAGGAGTATTGCTGAAGTATTTTGTAAGGAGATAGTCAAACTCCATGGCATTCCTCTGTCCATAGTAAGCGATAGGGATCCCATTTTTATGAGTAGTTTTTGGAGGGAGATGTTCAAACTGCAGGGAACTAAGCTGAAAATGAGTACCGCATATCATCCCGAATCGGATGGGCAGACAGAGGTGGTTAATAGGTGTTTGGAAACCTATTTGAGGTGTTTCATTGCAGATCAACCTAGGACATGGGTATCGTGGATACACTGGGCTGAATATTGGTTCAATACAACTTTTCACGCTGCCACCGAGAAGACACCATTTGAGGTAGTTTATGGAAGGCCACCTCCAAAACTAATTCAATGGAGTCAAGGAGAGACTAGAGTTGAAGCTGTGCAGAGAGAATTATTGGACAGAGATGAGGCTTTGAGACAATTAAGGAACCAATTATTGAGAGCACAAGAGAGGATGAAGAGTCAAGCTGATAAGAAACGCACGGACAGGAGTTTTGTATGTGGAGAATGGGTGTTTGTCAAGCTTAAGGCTCATAGACAGCAATCAGTAGTGACCAGAATTTGTGCGAAATTAGCAGCAAGATACTACGGTCCTTATCCCATTATTGAGAAGATAGGAGCAGTGGCATACAGACTGAAGCTGCCCGAAGGGTCCAGAGTGCATCCTGTTTTTCATGTTTCATTATTGAAGAAGGCTGTGGGGAGTTATCACGAAGAGGATGAGTTACCCGAGCTATTGGAGGAACATATTGAAGTGTATGAACCAGAGGCGGTACTAGCCACTAGGAAGGTAAAAAAACAAGATGAAGAAATAAGGCAAATCCTCGTACACTGGAAAGGCAAGACAGCAGAAGAAGCAACTTGGGAAGATGAGATAATGATCAGAAGCCAATTTCCAAAGTTTGGCCTTGAGGACAAGGCCATTGCGGAAGGAGAGGGTATTGATAGGACTCAGTTAGTTGAGAAAGAATTGCCACGTGAGCGGCTGATTTACAAGGAATCAAGTGGACCCCAAGAGTGGAAAGTGTATTCTAGAAGGAAGGGTAAGAAGGGAATTGGTGGCTAGTTAGTTATAATATTGTGACGTGGCTTGAGTGAGGAGAGCACTTTGCAATCCATTTCCACGATATAAGGGATCAGAGGGAGAATGTAGATCTTACCTTGGATTATAGTGATTTACTAGCATGAATAGGGAGCTATAGCTTCCTATTAGGAGCCTAGCTCTTGTCAGATCTAGGGTTACATTCCCTTTTCTGTAACTGTTTCCCATTCATATTCACTATAATAAAGCTCTCTTTTCCTCTGTTTTCTGCTTGTACTGTTATATTACTACAATTCTGTGTTTTAGTTCGTATCACTCGGTCTATTAAGTTTTATTGTTCTCGTTAATAACAAAAATTGTAGTTTTCGCATTAACTCTTATTTTTCAGGGATGCACTATTTTGAGTGGAGATGTCATCATAAGTCATCTTGCAGCATACTCAAAGCCTAAATATGTTGTTTTCTTGGTATCCTCCATATGTCATGTATATCCATTTTTATTCTTGAATTGCTACAAATATAAAGCACTTACGGAATATATCAAGCCAAATAATCTTCTTGTGAGTATATAGTTCCATCCAAGTAATGGACATCTCGATAATCGATATATTGCTAACATGCAGTTACTTTTTTGCGCTAGATTAAATCTGTTCCAAAGACGCGGTTAGATTTTAAAGATTGTATCAATATGCTGGATAGATTTGCAAAACCACAATTTCAAATTATCTTGGATCAAAGTACCTGAAACAACATGCTATACAACTTACATATCTTAAATATTAGAAGTTGTTACATGAATGTTTTCCATTAATCATGAATGAAAGACAGATGTGTATGGAGTGTATGATCGCCCGCCAACAGAGCCTGACGCGATACTCTTGAAGGAGATTGGTGAGAACTTGTTGTAAACTCTACCTTCCATATGACCTATTCTAGGCTTTTCATATCACAACTTTTTCAACTGACAGCTGTTGCTGAAGACGGAAGCTGGTCAGTCATAAAACCAAAGTTGCAAAATTCAAGTAAGCAGACTTAGAATCAGTTTGGATTATCTTCTCTAGAAACACTCGTAAAGAATGAAATATTGAAAGCAGTGTTTCAAAACCCAAACTAGATATTGAACCGACGAGACCTACGGCGTAGTGGTTCAACTACTTTAAATAACTCGAACCGAGACAAAACCGTAGTTGAACCTCTTAAATAACCGAACAGTGCAGCGCCAGTTCACTGTTTAACCAGTTGAACTGTCTGGTTCTGTTTGGTTTTCAAAACCTTAATTGAAAGTATCTTTCAATGACTGAGTTCTCTGAATTACAATTTTTCGTATAAGTTGAAATTAGTTTTTGTATCTAAATTTTCTTTGTTGCTCCCTCATTTAGTCTCTCCATAAACATCTACAAGCTTATAAGAACTTTTCAGTAAGTGAATAGCAACAAACTAATTTTAACTGAGAAGTTCAACAAAATGGTTTGAGCGATCTTGTTTTCACTCATAAATCAGAAGTTGCCATGGTAGCATGCCAAATCACAGTGAATTGGGGCGTGGATTTTCTTATCTTTTGCTATTTCTTTGATTCCATAAATGAACAATTACAATAAGCTTCTACCTTGGTATTTGGACTTTTAATTTATTAAGTGAATAACTTAAAGTGCAAGCTTCCGTTGATTATGTGATTTGAATGTACGGATTGATTTTTTTTTTTTTGTTGCTGTGATTGATATCTGCAGTTGAGATAACTGTTGCTGCCCATGATACAACTGGTGGGATGAAAACAAAGATCTCAGAAGCTGCAATGATAGCAAAATTTGGAATTGATGTTTACATTGTAAAAGTAATATTTTGCTCATGTTTCACATGCTTGTTTTAGTTATATGCGCTCCTAGTTTTGAAAACATGAATTGTATTTCAGGCAGCAACAACTCATTCATTAAAGGCCTTAAATGGAGATCTTAGAAACAGCATCCCTGATGACTGGCTTGGAACGGTTGTTCGATCATCAGGATAGCATAATCGAATCTTCTGCACAAGTCGATATCATCAAGAGGGAGTAATGAGCTCTGACTAAAAAATGAGAGTTAAAGATGATCATTTGAGAGGTGCTGTTCTGCATATAATGAAGATTGACAGTTAAATGAACTATTACTACTGATGATCATTTCACATTTCCGTTTTAGTTGCGTTAGTTACCCAAACACGACTCAAACTTGATGTGCAATTGTATGTTTTCCTTATAAGCTTATTCTGAGTGTTTGTTATTTTGGCAACTTTTTCGTTTATAGTGTTAGACGGTGTGGCAAGTGATCGAGAGGGGGGTGAATAGATCACCTCTTACTTTTTCAAGGATTTAAGATTATTTTATCAAAGCGAGTTGAAAGCAGCGAAAATCAATATCCTGAATCAATTTCGTCTACTTTGAACCGACTACTAGAAAACTTGACATGTGAAAAACTTGCTGGATTTTTATTAAATGAAATGGATGAATATACAACTCAAAAATCTTAACGTTTCAATGCACTTATCATAAAACAGTATTTCCAATGAATTTAGAAATTTGTTAGGAATTTTGTCAAACACTTGACATATGCTTGTATAATGATTTAGTAGTGGTGGTTTGGTGAAAATGTTTGAACCACTATGTTTATCATTAGACAGAAAAGCTTAGCAAGTCAATTGAATTACAAAATTATGGAATATGTAAAACTATAAAGAGAAAGAAAGAAAGAACGATACACAGACAGTTTGGTAAGAAAGTTCCCCACTGTCGTCCTTGCGTGTGGGTACGTCTCCCTCTCAATTTCACAATTGAAACTGAGAATTTTTATAACAATTTGCTAAATGTTTGATAACAAGGTTACACTACACAGAAAGATAGAAATCCCTATGATCTTCTTCTTCTTGTAAGAACCACCACTTGATATGAGTTGTATCAAGATTTCCTGCAAGGTCCACAAACGATCCTCCGCTTTCACGACCTGTTTGTTAAAATCCTTCTGATTTCCAAACCCCTCGCTACGGCTGAATCCGACTCGCGCGACCGTGGCTAACAAAACCCTCAAGAAATCACCCGTTCTTGAAGGACAAACCCTCTGGTTTATTTCTTGAAACCTCCTCTTCAACCTTCAACTCAGCTGAGATTCTTTCAATACACAGATGAACGTTATCTCAGACCGCTTGATTCACTTCAACAAGGATGTTTGATTTTCTTTGTTGTTGTTGAATTGAAGATGGTTGAGAAGATGATGAAGATGAAGTTTCTTTAGGCTTTTGGTTGCTCACTATTGTTTTCACACAATTCAAATATGTTGTTGTATAGTACTGAGAAAAATGCTTGCTTATATTTATAACAGAAAACGGTTAGTCAAGAAAGAAAGTATTATGAGTCGGTGCATGTTGGTCATTTGTTGACTCGTGTTAGTTATGAGTGACAGGATGCGTCGATACATTGTGTTTTGAGTCGATGCAAAATCATATTATAACATTATACAGAACCAACAATTTTATATCTGTCGACACATAACACGTATGTGTCGATACGTACTGATTGTAATTTTAATTTTTGAACATAAAACATAGTATGAGTCGACACATGATATTATGTATCGATACATATAAGTTCAAAAATGTTTTCCAAGGGCATCAGAATGTTATGTGTCGATACATGAAGTTTTGTGTCGATGCATACAAGTTCAAGAATGTATTACAGATGCATCAAAGTGTTATGTGTCGATGCATGAGGTTTTGTATCGATGCATACAAGTTTAAGTTTGTATTACAGGGGCATCAAAATGTTATGTGTCGGTGCATGAGATTATGTATCGATGCATGCAGGTTTTAAGTTTGCATTTCAGGGTCATCAAAGAGTTATGTGTCGACGCATAAGCTTTTGTATGATGCATAATAGTTTTGAAATAGTATTCCAGGGGCTTCAGTAAGTTATGTATTGATACAAAACCTGTTGTGTCGACTCATAATGATGCATTATGAGTAAAATATATTTTTAGCTTATTTAAACATGTTATATTATATTTTTATAGTGCACACATGTATTTAGTATTTCACATATATTTGCAATCATTCAAAAATCAATTATGAAGGGGTTGCTCACAAACTCCCCCTTTTTAATGATGACAAATATCTGATGATGTGTGGTGATATAGTGTAGATGAATAAACTTGCTCCCCCTGAGTTTGTACATCTTCTTTCTAACACAAACACAATCTTCACTAACACACTCCTTTTCTCCCCCTTTGACCACATCAAAAAGAGAATAAGCAATATTTTCAGTAATCTTAGCACATAAGAAAATTGATATACAATTTCAGCAAATAATTGTCTTGGAATTCACACAGAATGTCTTGGCATAATTTTATCAATAACTGAGTAAATAATAGAGTAAACAGAAAGTGATCAAGTTAAAAGTAATTAATTTGCAGATAAAAGTTAGATTACATAAGCAAAATAGAATGTTTGAAGGAGACATTAATACAACCACTTGAAAGAAAGAAAGAAAAGCATGAGTTAATGGTATGTAATGTATGACATGAAGATATAAATTAGGGATTGTGCCCATCACAAGACTCGTCATAGTTGTAGGATGGAGGAGGCGGTGGAGGTGGATTGATGTCAGGATTCTGAGTCATGAACTGATATCGTCGAAACCTGTTCTGGATATCGATATTTCTGAAATTTTCCATGATTCCAGGATTTTGACGACAGTCGGCCATGAAGCTTGTCATCTCATTGTAAAACACCGGGTTCCATTTGACCAAATCTAAGTGCCACAAATGTTGATTTTGGTATATCCGTGTGTGCTCATCATGCCATTGCTCATGTTCTTTGTGCCATTCATTTTGCTGGTTGTGCCACTGTCTCGCTTCTTCATGGCGAGAATCATTTGCAACCTGCATTTGCTGAAACATGGTGGTGAGGTAAGCAGGGGCTTCCGAGGAAGAACCTGCTGCAGCAGTGGGAGCACCATGAGGTTGTGATGTTTGATCAAATTGATAATTTGTTGGAGATCAGCGGTTTGGCACCCACTCACCCCAACCGGTTCCATCCTGATTTGCTTCAGGTTGGATATTTTCATTGATATCTGGCATGTCAGCATCAATAGGGTTCTCATCCTCATAGATCTGTTCAGAGGGGATGTCAAAGTTATATACCCTAACATTTGACCCTTTTTCCTTAAAATAAAGGCATTGACGGTTTTTGTCCCATCTGTATCCCATGTGAGATAAAGTAGCCTTATTAAACTCTTGGGCAGCATTAGGAGAGATGAGAGGAACAAGTGAGATAACAAGGTTCCAGAACTTGATAATTCTCACGATTTGATTCGAATATCCAAGTGCAGTGTTCTTCTGGCTGTTTCGCATAAGGAACATGCGTTTGATAAAGTAGTTTGGCCAGTTTAGGGGAACCCTATCTAGCAAAATGTGCAGAAGATGGATATTTGACCTGTCTAGCCGAGAGTGGCCACTGAATCTTTGACGCAATATATGTGAGGTTATCCAGTGAAGTATTCTAGGAATGCTTTTGATATTGTCGGTGGTTATCGGCTCAAACTCGCCTAGAGGTCAATCAAGTTTTAGGATTGAGTTTATGAAAGCTTCTTCATCATAGTCGGTATCAAAATTTTGATCATGGAAGCTTTTCATTATTGACCTTCCAAAAGGAATGCCAAAAATGCTCTGCCAATCAATGGCTTCAAAGACATATCTTCTTGTCCCTATTTTGACTTTAAAGCACCAACCCTTATTTGTTTCTAATCCAGCATAAAAAGCTCGTATAAAGTCTTCATGGTAGTCTTCTCTAACGTTAAGAAATGACCCTAGTTGTTGAGCATCTAGTATATCGCAGACATATGTGATATGGATGTGAAATTCTGGCTGCAGATACTCAATGTCACGTTCAATGTTATGACACCGTATCTGACTTACTATATGACAGTAAATACAAAAACAATAAAGAACACAATCAATTGTTTACCCAGTTCAGTGTGCAACAACACCTACTCTGGGGGCTACCAAGCCAGGGAGGAAATCCACTATAAGAGATGTTAATTCAGGAATAAACCAACCAGTTTATCTCCTTCACTTAAGACCTACCCAATGCAATTTCAATCTAAGTACAACTTAAACCTGAGTTCCTACTCACTCCCCCTCAATCACAGCAGTGATACATAAAACAATTTGACTAATGAATTGATGAAGACACTCTTCAAAAACATATACTTGATTAAGCTTCACAGCTTTTTAATCAAGTAACACAACCACTCTTGCTTCACAGCTTTGAGTGATACACAACTTAACTTGACTCTGCTTCACAGCTTTAGTCAAGAAACATTCAAACACTCTTGCTTCAAAGCTTTGAGTGCTACACAACCCTTACAATTAAAAACCTATTCCAAGGCACTTATCACAATGATAATTGCTTGGAGTACAATAATTAAACCTATACAGTTTACAAATGATCGTCTGACCAAAAAGGGATTACTTGCAAAACAGCAGCTCTGTTGAATATATAGCAGCTACAACTTCAGTTAGGGTTTCCACAAAAACCTAGGGTTAATTCCGTTTGACCTTAAGACTAGGTCACAGGACTTTATTAACCAGGTTAGGGTTGAGCCAGGTTAACCCTCAGAAAACGCAGGATTCTGTTCTGGAAAGACTGAGTTATTTTCCTGAAAAAACTCAGAATTAACCAACCTGCAAAACTGTTAGTTCAGAACAGGATGTCTTAACATCTGTTATGACATCTGAGGAACCTGTCTACTGATTTAGGAAAATGTGATCATTTTGCAAAATGCTCAGATACACACTTATAAACATCAGTACCTGAATGACAATATTTTTCTGCAAAGGTACCTAATGAATCAGTACAAACTAAACTAGAATGTTATGACATCAGTCATGACATTCACACATACACTTGGGTTTTACCAAAAATGCAAGCCAATACCTAAACAACTACAAACTCCCCCTTTGGCAGATTTTTGGCTAAAGACCT